GCAAGAGCAAGGATTAGGGCCAACCACACCGATGGATCATCTGAGTTACCTAGCTGTGATGGGTGGATTAGTCTAAGAGGGAAAGGGAGAAAGATCTGGGCCAAAGTAGGGGGAATCTGGATGGGAGATTGAAGGATATCAAAGTTATGGAAGGGTGGTTTAGACAAAGAGTTAGGGTTAGAAATTGAGCAGAAACTTGTAAAGATTTGCATGAATGGCACATCCCAACCTTCAACTTACTACATAATGCGCAACCAACCAACCAACCAGCATCTGTTCTACAGAGCTAGTTGGTAGCTCACTCCTATGGCAATTTCTCTACTTTCACTTCTGTACTGAGACATTGAGCAGTACCAATACTCTCTGGATGGGTACTGTGGGACATGACAAAATTTGTGTCAGCTTTTCTCCAATGACTTGGATGTACAAGGTTGAGATTCATATTTCCAAGGTGTTCCATTCTAAATTCTGTGCTTGGCTTTTTCCCTATTTAGCTGTAGGTTGTATGTAAAGTATTGCTTCTGTATAGATTCTATACATCATCAACCACAATGTCTTGAGTTAGCCTTATATGGTACAAGATCTCTTTTTGATTTATAATTATGAAAGTTCAAATCTTTTGGAACCTGCGTAAGCCCAAATTATTACTTTAAAGCTTATTGGTTGCTTAAATTTTGCCACAGACATATATACAGGTTTCAAATGATTTAAAGTTTTAATTCTCAAATAATTCTTTTATGGCAACTTCATAGGGATCAATGACTTGGGCAAAATAAATATTATTATCCATGCTGTTTAACCATTACTTGCTCTTGGACCTTTTGTGAAGTGGGAGCCCACCCATCATGGCTTAGCACAAAATGTAGAGCCAAACCTCCATAGGATGTTTAACAAACACAATATTTCTACTTTAAGAGAAATGAGCAAATCTTGTCTGTGTAAAGTGCTACAAAATGGTGTTTCGTGCCGAAATTCCTCAACAGATTCACTCCTTAGCAGGACTGCAGCGCCGATTGACTGCAGAGTGTTGGAAGTGGTGCGGGGGATTTTAGGCTCTGAACGCTCCGAAATCCGGGCACAAGTATCAATAATTACCAGCAAAGTCAAATATAGCAGAGCGGAACCGTTGAATACTGGCCAAATGGTAGGAGACCTGTCAGAGTGAGTTTGTCGGCACCCCCAAGGGGCTATAGGTGTGGCTACCTCCACCCCAGGCTGGGGATTCAGCTAGTCAGCTCAAATCTACTCACAATTTGATCAAATCCAATTTAATAAGAGAATGTTGTATATATCAAAAATCTCTGTGGAGCACTGCTATGACACATCCATCCACATTGAGAGACTGAGTTGAAAGCTGGGTCTGCCTAGTGACAGGGGCGTGACTTAACAGTGTTATCAGACTCAGTTCAATCAGTGAGCGGATGAGTTTAACCCCAGTCTGGATGCTACCTCCACCACTATGGAGAATGGAAGGTTCTGCACGTGACTAAGGGTTTATTGTTATTATTGAAGGTTGCAATTAATGTGAGTACAACTAATGAAATATTTGATTTGGTGAAAATTGTATGATGATACCAAGTTGCATTTAACGTGCCCTAAAATTCAGTTAATACAAGGCTAGCACATATGCAAATGAGCAAGGGTATACACAATTGCAGTTTTAGACGCTGCTAATCTTCATGTGTGCAAAATGGAGAAAAAGAAGATTCCATAAGTGGAAATAGCACAAGTTTTGAAGAGGCTTAGTATTACATTACAGCAAAAACGATACAATTGAGCAACTTGAATGTGGCATTGGCAAGGCTAAAATAGGATGTTGGATTTCTTGAATGTATGGCAGATTTTTATTTTCTTTTGCTTTTATTTTGTTTTCTAAAACTAATCTGGGATTCTGTTAACCATAAATTTAAATAGTAAGTATATGCTTTTTATCCTTTGCCATAGTATTTCATTAATACACATTACCTATTTTCATCAAGCTGGAATCAATTACCACATTTTTCATAGAAATATCACTTTAAACACTGTGTATTTGAATACAAAGGGAGCATTTTGTGGGATTCATTAACACCCAACTATGTTTAACCTTAAATAAGAATGTCTCTGGGCACTCAGCAGTGGCAGGCTGCAATGGAGAAAAGAGCAGGAAGATTTTGGGAAGGGGAAAAACGTTCCTTTAAAAACATGCAAATAGATGTCTGTTATTATACCATATGGTGTTACATCAGTGTCTCTCAGTGGGAGCAAATATTATGTGATTGTATCGTGGACTAGAAGTAGCACTTTTCTTCATAAATATGTATAATAAAGTAGGTAGTTAATATAGTGTAAAAAGTAAAGGTTCCCCTCGCACATATGTACTAGTCGTTCCCGACTTTAGGGGGCGGTGCTAATCTCCGTTTCAAAGCCGAAGAGCCAGCGTTGTCCGAAGAGGTCTCTGTGCCCATGTGGCTGGTATGACTAAATGCCTTCCCACTAAAGTGGTCCCTATTTTTCTACAGGCAGTTTTAGACGCTTTGGAACTGCTAGGTTGGCAGAAGCTGGGACAAGTAACAAGAGTTTCGCAGCGCTAGGGATTCGAACTGCCAAACTATCGACCTTTCTGATCGACAAGCTCAGCCTCTTAGCCATTGAGCCACTACATCCCTACATAATATATTTAATATAATGTAAAGGAGGATAAATAAATATCTGCAGTAAAGCTGAATAAAATAAAAAGAGACTTCAGACTTGCATGAGTAATAAACAAAAGGTCTATTTGGACAGGATGAGTACTTCCATTGGACTGGAGTACTTCCATTGGGATTGAATGGGAGATGAGGCAAGTCTAATATTCTCTCTATGTATCTGCTCTTACTAATTTTTCCTTCCTAATTCATTGTCACTTGGTTCAATGTGTAGAGTAACTCTACTAAACCTGCAGCGTTGTGTCAGATAACCTTTTCCTCCCTCCACCAGGTTTCTAATGCAGACACACTTTCTTATGCATTCACTACTAGGATTAAAACAGTTAACACAAATTGTAACCAATTCACATTTTATTTAATTAAAATATATCTGGGGTCTTCAAGATCGGGAGCGTGTAGCAGTACAAATGCTTGAGCTGCAAATCTACAGGGAGAATAAATTTCTTATGCAAATATTGCAATTCCATGTACTGACGAATGTGTCAAGCCACATTGGCTCCTGCAAGCTTAGGGTGCAATAAACTTAGTTTGGCTGATGCAGTGACATTGATCATCTCCTTAAAGGAGAGGTGGGCAATTTGCAGATGTGGAAATCCTAGGGACTTCCCTTGTAGCTTCCTGCCCCAGCAGCTAAATGTTGGAATGATTTCCACCGGAAATAAAAGAGAATGTAGTAAGGAATTAATAAACTTAATGTACTTTGAAACACACACACACACACACACACACACACACACACACACACACACACACACACCAAAACAGGAAAGAAAAATGATAAAACTGCCTCTAGCGATATTTCCACTTTAAAATGTATGGTTCTCATTGGCCAAAACCAAGGACAATTCTATTTTACAAAACTGTTGCCTATCGCTGCGCCCTTAAAAATCAGGTTTTTGCTTTTTAACATAAGCTGGCTTGGATCAGTATTGTTCCCAAATGAATTCTCCAAACACCATATATACTTGTGTATAAACCCATCCGCAAATAAGCCAATCCCTTAAAAAAAAAAGAATAAGAATACCATTAAAAATATTCCAGTTATGGATCAGCCAACCCTGGAAATTTTCATATATTTGAATATATAGAGATTATCAATTTTTCATGGCAATTGGTGAAAAATTTGAGGACCACAGATGGAGTTATCCTCAAGTATACCATATATGGGATATAGGGACACTTTGAAAAGCCTTGTTACCGTACATCCTTGCAGATAAGCCCATCTGTGGCTGAGCAGAACTGAATTTTTGAGTGTATTTTGGCGTCTTAATTGAGAATATGTGATAAATACATTCTCAAACCTATAACCTTTTATTCTTCTTTGCCCTTTGATGTTCTAAATATTCTTTACTTCTAATTTTGAAGTTTTATAACTCAGGGTCACTTTTCACAAGTTCTGAAAAGACTGCTTCAACCTCAAAGGACACTGGAGAGCAAAACAACTAAAATTAAAATGGCAAAATGATTATCCTGGGAATCCTTGCACGCTTCCGCACTGTCACCCCCAACAAGTACTGATCGCTAGACTTCAGGCTGAATAGACACATAAGCATTTTAGGAGCTGAAGGTGGAATCCGCTGTAGAATAGGCAGGGATTCTCCCAAGTCTGCTGTGCAGGGGGGTGGGGGAGCTGTCCTTTCACAAGGGGGAAAAAGGAGCCATAGAGAACTGCCATCTGCTGGGACACTCAGTCGGTGGACTTTTGAACCACTACTTTTTCTACTTTACTTAAATTTTATAGGGAAAAATGTATGTGTTGTTTTATGTTAGAAAACAGACACTGAGAGTACATTGACTAGAATGCACCCTCAGATACGGTCAGGGTTTATAACATCAACTGCTAATAATATAACTTCTGAACATGGAATCTACACACACACATATAAACACACACACACACACACACACACACACACACACACACACAGAATTCAGTGTTACAAATATATGTTGACAAATTGTCTTCAAAAACCATCTAATTTTTAAGCTTCAAGTCATAGTAGGCAATTTTCAGTTTTGTATTTTTGAATTTACAAGACTGGATACTTCCTGCAAAATGAATCCTTCATGTAAAAGAAATTAATGTATTATTCTAACTAGCTGTTCAGTTGTAGTGTGATTCAACATTGTTCACATGTCAAAGTCTATCAGCTTTTTTCTTTATAGAGTACCGACTTCAAGAGTTATATTTTTCAAATGTAAACTTTTTTGCTAATGGAATAAACTTGTGTGTGATATATGACATGCTCCTAAAGTAAATGTGTTCCCACAATGATAAAGTAATTGTGAAATGAAATAATGAAGAAAACCTTCTTTGAGGCAGGAAAAAAGGGTTTTTATAAAAGTTATATAATTTGAATAATAAGAATCAGAGATGTAAATATAGAATAGCTCCAACAATGTGTTCTTAATAACCAGGATAATCAGATGTTACAATAATTGATTACATGTATGCCTTTTATTATGGTAATGGTATAATCCACTAATCTGAAAAATCAAGATCCATCATGGCTCAAATCAAAAAGAATGTGGTGATCTGCTCTTAAAAGTAAAACGTCTCCAATATTAGCATAGCAAACTAGCAGTCTGAACACAGACTATGAAAAATTTTCTATGGCCCAATACAAATGGGGACCAAATTGTAAAAATGTGGAGCTTTCATGCACATTTTTTTTTGAAATTGCTAACACAAAAATACTGAGTGAAAACTCAGAACGAACCTTACTGTGGATCCACAGAGATGCCATAACGTGCTGCACTCCACAGCTTATTAATTCCATATTAACTCTTGAGAAAAGTTATGATATAGATTAACTAGACTGAAGACTGCACCTTCTTCCTAATTTCACTAACTCACAGATGAAAATAATTGATCAAGCAGTATTTATTTAGATTCAGTCCAGGTGAAGGGAATAATAAGACTATTAAGTGTGTGAATTTGAACTCTCTGATTTCAAAGTGCTAAATTGAAAGTGTATTTGTGCTAAAGCACCCAACTACTATATCTTTCTACGTGTTCTTATTTATTCTTCACTAGGTCAATTGTCCTCAATGTTTATCAGTGATAGGCAGGGCAGGGCACAGAATCAACAGAAATAACTTAAATAAGATATTTAAGTAGGACTAATTAAATCCTGGTTTATGTCAACTGAGGACAGAATGATCTGACTAACTTGATGCTTACATTCTGAATGTGTCCTCGGGGTACTAAATAAAATTGAGCAGAATCTTCTGCTTTCATTTTGTTTGGTTTTATAACAGCTTTATTTAGCTTCACCCATTTCTGAGCCCAGCAGCCATTAAAATATTGCAGCACATTAAGTTAGTATGCATATTTTTTATAGAAAGTTCCTTAGTTATCTGAAATCAATAAGAAAAAAGTGACACAGATTTCAGTCAAACTGAGATGTCACCATCACAACGTATAAAATCCAACAGGTATGAAGGGACTGAAACCAAAGCAAATATTAGATTTGATACAGCAGCAAATACAGTAGCTCAACAAAGCAAAAACAAACATCCCTGTAAATGAAGCCCAGTTTTAAACAGTCGTGGGAAGAAACTTTAAAACTATCATATTTTTGAAAATATCACTTATAATGGGAAATTAAAATAAATAGTTGATAAAAATTAATTGTCCCTGATCAAAGAGATCTTTTCAAGTGTAAAGGAGGCCATACCTCCACTGAAGTTAAAAAAGATTTCTTTCAAAAGTATGAACAGTGTACAAGACCAAAATCGTAAAGGTAAAGGTTACCCTAATTCTTCCCCCAAATTTTGCAACATATTGCTGTACAGTCTTCTATAGATTTTTCTTTCAATATATAGTGGCAAAAGGCCTTGACAGAAGATACAAGAATATAAATAACCATGTCATTCATACTGCTTCCCCAAACCTTCCCCACAACTCTTCTTCCCCAAGGCTGGGATTAATTTGGATACAGCTTTGGCAAACATAAAAATCTTCTTTAATGAAGTTCCTCAAAGAAAACAGTTAGCAAAATATTTGAATATTTGTGGATAATGTCACATTTAAGGTAAACATCAAATCATGTACCAAAATCTTTTGATGGAAAAAAAGAAGAAAAATCCTTAAAGTGGTACAATTCTCATACCACTGGAAAAATCAGAGGGGAAGAAACTAAATTACAAACATTTAACGTGCATAGTTGGGAGGGGGATTCAATTATTTTTCCTAAGTTCACGCAATTGGATTTTTTTAAAAATAGCTATTCAACTACCAAGCACCCAATATAGCAATTTTTTTTTGTCATTTCATGATTTCTGTTTAAAAACCCATTAAATTAATCCCTCCAACAAACTGAATGAATAGCTTGTCCAAAAAACAACAACATGAATTTTTCACCTTTAGGTTGACCACTAATTTTTGTTTAATTGCAAAAGAGTAGTATCTGGGTCTGCAGCAAAGGCCTGCACTTTATCCTAGAAAGGAAATTACTATAACCACATCATACAGATTCTAAAACTATAAAAGTCTTAGAATGCAGCATCCCTTCACAGAAATCTGATAAAACTGAATGTAAATATAAGATGCTGCATCTTTATTTTAAAAAAAAATAAACAATTTAAGCAGACATAACATACATTTGTACATTAACTGGCCATTTCTGGTACAGAAACCCAGCACAGTATGCTAAATGTTATTGAATAAATGTAAATGCTACTTACATTTTTAAATACAATTTAGACAACTTTTTTTTAAAATGTTTATATATATTTTTTTAAAGTTGCACAGTTAACTTTTCAGCTGCTAGCTTTAATGCAACACATAGATAAAGTTACATAATTTTTAAAAGTTTTTTTTTTCCCTAGGGATTTTTTTTCCTCAAACTTCTGACCCACATCAAAAAGAAAGTAAAATAGTGGAATATAATTTAAAAAGAATTAGCTTCAGGTCTAGCAGCAAAGCCATTAAACCAAAATATATTTACTAATATAAACAGAGAGAAACAATGGTGCCTGCAGCTGCAGCCCCAGCTATCTTAAATCTACTCACAGAAATAAAAATTAAAATGTCTCTACAAAAATAGTCTGATTATTTAAAATAGGAGTAGAAGCCATTGCTACCTGATGAACTACCTAGGCTAAGTTCCTGAAACAGAGACAAGGGGTCGCTATTCTTTTTTGCCTGCTCAGGAGGGGGTCTGGGCTTGGGAGGAGCCCTCAGAGCACTTGCGTAGGACATGGCAGGTTTGTTCAACCCAGCACTGGGCTGGCTGTTGCTGTTGGATTCCACAATCTGCTTGTTGGGCATGAGGGGTGGGAACTGGCCCAGATGCTGGAGTACATTGTAGTTAAAAGAACTGGACAACGGGATGTTTTCAACCTTCATCTGTTCCTCGGGGGATTTGATAGTCTTCGGAGGAACTAAAAAGAAAAGATCATCATCATCATCAACACCAACACCAACATCACCAACACCACCATTTTAACTTAATAAAGATCACAGATTGGAAAGCTACTTCCCAGGTTTCCTTTCCTGAAGATATACAAAGAGCATTACTTAAAAGCTAAATAATGTCTGCAGGATTTTGTCAAATGCTTCCAGTCCTGTAAGACATTTTAATTTGAAAGAATTGGAGCGATCTTTACAAAGCCTATTAAAATTGCTCTTGGTTTCATAAAGAAAATAGTTTAAAAATATATTGCACTTTAAGGCCAAGATTAAAAACACATCATTGGTATATTCTAACCATGCACAATCAGAATAGGTAAACGAGCAAACAAAGATACACAGCATGCATACATCAAGATTTTGTGACTTCAACTCCCAGAATTCCTGAGTCAGCACCATGATTAAAGGGGCCACCCCTGGTTTAAAGAAAGTAACACTCACTCACCTAACTGTTCTCTTGGTGGGATTGCTCTGTTGGATCCGTTGCATGGAATGTTCTGATAGGGGGCTGATGAAGAAGAATTGACCCACCATTCAGGGGGTGAATAATTGAAAGAGGATGGGTTACTCTGGTCCTGAAGCTCTTGACACTGTCCAACATTATCTGGAGGAGTATTTAAACCTTCAGAACAAGCCTGGGTTGAACTAGATGACATTCTTCTTTGGTACAATGGCCTGCCAGGTCCTCTTGGTTCATACTGCATAAAAGAAGACAGTTACTTGCAGACATGTCTGCATTAAATGTCCCATCTGAGTATCAATACACATATTGTGAAACTGCCCTCAAAATAAACATGAATATTTTACTTGGTGTGATTTTATTCACTGACACAAATACATCTTATTCTTCACATTCACCATCCTGTTATGAGAATAGGGAGATAAATAAACACTACACTCAAAACTCTCTCATTTTTATATATCTGTATAATTACAGATATATAATATTATGTATAGGATTAAATCACTTTTTAAAGTAATTTCAGATCCAGCCTTCCTTTCAGAATAGTTAATTGCATTACATAGCACTACTGACTTTTTCTCTTTAGAAGTCCCTTCTGATTCCTAATTTTTCACTTTGAATTCATTTTTTTTAAATTACTGGTACTGTGTACTGTGGGCGTGGCTTGATGGGCGTGGAAGGGAAGGATACTGCAAAATCCCCATTCCCACCCCACTCCAGGGGAAGGCTATTGCAAAATCTCCATTCCCACCCCATTCTGGGGCCAGCCAGAGGTGGTGTTTGCCAGTTCTCTGAACTACTCAAAATTTCCACTACTGGTTCTCCGGAACCTGTCAGAACCTGCTGAATTTCACCCCTGCTTTGAACTTTTAGTTATTGTATGTTGTTTACATCTAAACTTGTCTTCTACAAAATTTCCTCTGCAGGGCAATTATATGCAATATTTGCCAGTTGTAATTTGTCCTTCTCTGGTACCACTGACTCATTATATTGGTGTAATTAATCCCCTGAAAATAAAGTTTAGGTTGTCCATAACACACAGTCTATATAAACCTGTTTTGCGATACAAGTTATGTTTACAACAAGCTTTTTCTCTTCTTTTCGTTTTGAACTATTCCTCTGTTCTACCAGAGATAAACCTAACAAAATAAAGAAAGGAAAGGAGGAGAAGCAAGTCTGAGGAAAATATATTGGATTCAGAAACTGTAGATATAATCTAGGATCACAAAAAGCTCTCTGCATGTGTTTAGAACCAGGATATCATAATATGCAAAATGTTATTTTTAACTTAAGGTACTTGTGGATTAGCCTGAATATTTTAATGGTTTATACAGGTCAATATTAATGAATACAACCAGAAACTAAGAAATGCCATCATTGTGCAAGTTTCACTTAAAAGAGCAACAACTCATAATTCATTATTTTAAGGAGACTATCAAAACTGCTAAAATGTTGAATGGAATATAACACAAAAAACACAGACTAATATTATTTGTTAAAGAAGAAGCTCAATTGATGCTGGGTATTTTTTCCCCTCTGTGGATGAAGTAAGAAGTGAGAATACATAGATGTTTATTACTATTCAGAAAGACAAACAAATATGATTCTCCAGTTCACTAATCATTTTTTCAAAACACTGGTGGATATCTCATAGGGAACATATACTATTAACAGAATGGTGTTGAAATAGATGGAACCAGCAACAAAAAGGAGATTTATCTGAATAAATAGGTATTTTGGTACTTTATAGCAAATTAGAATTTCTCCTATTATTTAACAATAGTAGTAACAAAACAATTCCCCATCATTATCACCAAATTATATGACTGAAAGGAAGGAAGTGTGGTGTATCCAAGATTGTGGTGTGAGCGTGGAACTTCACTCCCTTGCTGGGTTTAGAATTCCAAAATTTAAAGTACTCTTGTACTAGACTTAAATTAGTAGATTCAAGATTCAAGGGAAAAATATTACTGTACTTTAGGAAACAGCCAATAGTTCTAATATGTAGCCCTGATTCTAATATAGAAAGCTTATTCCTAGTGCATTTCTCAATTAGCATTAGTCTTATTTGTTAAGCACCAAGTATCTGTTCCTACAGCCTATTCAAGCACAGATGGTAGTAAAATTAGAATAAGCCTATTGTGAGTATTTTCATTGGATCCAAATGAGGCATCTTATTTATTTATATTCCCCCTCCCTTTTTAAAATAAATAACTCAAGGTGGCAAACATGCTTAATTATCCTTCCTCCTCCTATTTTCTCCAGAAAAACAACCCTCCAAGGTGGGTTGCACTGAAAGAGCAAGACTGTTGGGGCTTCAGAGTTTAGTGGCCAAAATCTAGTGAACAGATTTTCTGACATTTTGTGGGAAATTGTGGCTGGCCTTCTCAGAGGCAAAGAGATCTGCTACATAAACGACAGGCACTTAAGCAGGGACTGACTAAGTGAGATCCTGTTTTTATAGCCAGGGATTTTGTCTTCTGACTGGTACAGGTTAGTGGGGTCTGATCTCTGATTGGTTCTTTCTTTGTACCAATCTGATTGGTAATGGTTCCTGACTGAATCACCCATAATATATGCAGTTGCTTGCTATTTAGGCTGTCCAGTACTTCCTTTCCTGGGATTGTAGTTTGTCTTTGTGGCAGAAGTTCAGGAAATTACTTTGACACGACTTGCTTTTCTAATTTCACACCACTCTATGGGTTCCAGTTCACTAAATTCCCATTTTAAACCAAATTCCCATGTTAAACACAGTTGGAACTGTATTAAAACACTCTTACTCTCTCTATTTTTCTCTAGAGGATTTGGCTTATCTCAGCATGACAGAGTTAAGACTTCCCAGAGTAAAGTGTTTCCCAACCAACAGATTTCCATTTATAAAATTACTTTCTTTGTCTCTGTGCCCTTCTTTTTACAGGTCCCTTGCATAGGAGTCCTGGCGTAGAGAACATCCAACCTGACAACTTAAAGATATACAGCAAACGCGAGATTCTAATTTCTAAAAAAAAAATTTCTATTTAAATGCCAAGCCTTGTCTAATTCAGAACAGTAACTGATCTAATAGCATGTTGAGAGAATATTTAGATATTCCCAAATAAAGATGAGAAAACTTGGGCCATTTCTCTTCCTGATTAGCCTTAGTTTTCACGTGGTTTCTCTTGTATGAAAAAATCCCCCCTCCATCTACCAATTACTGTCAGCTTCAGAACGGGCTCATATGCCCTCAAGTCAGTGAAAATGCAACCTAGCTGTGCCTGGTTGATACCAGCAACCCTGAAAGAGGAAGCCTGTATATCTGTTACCCAGGAACAGAAAGCCCATCCATCTTGGCTGGTAAGGGTCTATTTCTACGCTTGCCCAGAGTTTCAATGAGGAGTTGATAAATGAGAAAGCAAGGAAGTTAACCTTGAGATAATAACAGCAGTGAATCTGCCATGTTCATGGTTGAACAGAAAAATCAAAGAGGTTTGCTGATAGAAGGGCAAACTTCTTCATCAAGAAAAAGAATGTTGTATTATTTGTAATTCTTTCCTATCTTTCAGTTCATGGCAACTATCTCCCTTTTGAATACTATTAAAAGCCTTGGGAAGGAACTACCCAAATAGAAGAAAATGATAGGTAAAATATAATAATACAGAAATATAAACTTTATCTGTTAAATTATGTTAGATTTTATTCATGCTATTGTAACTTTAAAAAGAAGCACTGCTTGAATGTATTCTTGGATTTAAGAAAAAAAGAGAAAAAACTTTCTTCATATTTTCCTCCCTTTTATTCCTCTACTCTTGAATTCCCTGTTTTCCCACTATTAATCAAATGCATCCCTACCGGATGTGTTTCTCCTGCTATTGAAGAGATTCTCTGACATGATGTTTAAATAAGATTGTCCTTTAACCTCACCACAAGTGTAGCCTGTTGGAAATTGTGTACATTTCTCAAGGCTTTTATCAATTGCCTATAACTCATAAGTATCTTGCATCTTTATATAAAGCCCTGTTCTGAATTACTGCTAATAGATCTCCCAACCACGAAAGCTCATCAAGATACTCCCTCAGCTACAGTTGCTATACCTTCCTCTCCTCTGTTTCCAAAGTCCCACTATGATTAAAGCATACCTGTGAACAAAAAAAATGCATTCAAAGCTTGTATTAAAATAATGAAAAGCAGTAAGGACATAGCAAGGTAAACAGTACTAAGCGTCTGCTAATCCTGGAATTTTAAAAATTGTTTTTTGCCCTGCCTGAAAGTGCTGCTAATTTTCTTAACAGAATAGGTGTTTTCAGAATGGAAGGCAAAATACGTTTGGATCACTTTCGCTCCCATCAAAATCTGTTTCGATTATTCCTTTCAGATCACCTTTGAGCCAGGAAGCTGGAACTGAGGCCAGTGATCATTCTTATAGCTGGGGGAATGCAACTCTCTTGGTCCTTTCTTGATCTTTCAGCTGTCTTCAACACCAATTAATTAGAATTAGAATTCTAATTAATTCGAACAATTAATCAGTGGAACAACTTGCCTCCAGAAGTTGTGAACTGGAACACTGGAAGTTTTAAAGAAGAGATTGGACAACTATTTGTCTGAAATGGTACAGTGTTTCCTGCCTGAGGAGGGGGTTGGACTAGAAGTCCTCCATGATCCCTTCCAACTCTATTGTTCTATTCTATTCCATCAATCATGGTGTCTTCAGGGGCTGGGAACGAGAGGCTCCCAATGATATCTATGTGTATCTGTGTTGGGAAAATGCCAGTTGGAAGGAGGAGTCAAGCTTATGCTATTTGCAGCTACGCAATGACTCCAAAATAGGCCCTCGCTTGAGCCCTCCTTCCAGCCTAGCTGGCTCTTTCCCAACAATCTGCTTTTTCTTGCCTATCTCATTCCTTTTGTTCTTCCATTTTAATATCATATTTTAAAATACAAAAGAAAAAAGTCATCTACATTTTAAGATGGCCTTCTACCGCCAATGTCTGTCCTACACTAAAGACATGGCTTCCAAAAGTAGAGAAGGAGAAATAACTGACTGGTTCTTTGCTATAAGATGGATTGTTATAACGGTGTTATTGAATGAAACAAATTAGCATAGCAAATGTGTTAAGAGTTAGCAGGTATTATAAAATTGGTATCGGGACAAATATTCAGATTAGTTAAGCCATGCTATTTTCTAATATTTATAGTTCTAGAGTGGAATATGAGTAAAAGCTAATTAAGTCTATTCTTTCCTCAGTTACCCATTTAAATAATACATTTATTCGAAATCTTTCATCTTTGTGGTCTAGATGAATAAAACAACAAAGTTTTGTCTTTCCCTTTAAAAAGTGACCTTTCAACTGATTCTTCTAAAAAAACAAACCCAAAGAATTTTATATTTTAGAAGAAATAAAAAACATTATAAAAGATATGTAACATTTCCATTACTATTTTCGGAGTCCTACTAAACATAAATCAAAGATTTTACTGGATGCTCATTCCAATGTCTGTCAAATAATAATTCCTGGTCTCCGACTGTGTTTTTGAAAAACATAAAATTAATAGGGTTTACAGTAACCCTGATTTTTACTACCAACTTTTTTTTACTACTACCAGTTTTCTACCAACTTTTCTTTCCTATTTTTGGCAAATGCTAGATACCTCACAGAGGGGTGAAAAAACCAGAGATCTAAGGTTCATATATAAGCAACTATAATTCAGTTTTGACTCCTGGTGTCTATGTGAACAAGTTTTGTCTTCACGGTTTTCTTGTTTTCATATTTTCAGAATTGTTTTGTCAGTGTCTTCCTAAGACTGAAAAGGAGTGACTGGCCCTAAATCATGCAGTTGGCTTTAATGCCTAAGACAGGGGGACTAGAACTTACAATTTCCCAGTTTCAACTGCTTTAACTTATATCAAACTGGCTCCCTTGAAAAGACTGGGCACCCAATTTATCATTCAGAAGCATATCTAAAATCCACTTAAAAAAAATAAAATTAGGTTGCTAAAGCTGGATTTTCAGTATCTCAAAATAACTTGCCCTTCTGGTAAATGGCCTAAAAAGTAGTAACACCTGATACTCAACCAGCTCCAGTGAAGCAACAGTAACAACAACAACAACGGCATATGGAACCTTGCCCAAAGTCACTACCAGAATGACCAGCTCCATTTCCCCCAGCTTTTATATACTATCATTAAGCAAAACTCCTCATTACAAGTAGTCCTCAACTTATGACCACAATTGAGCCTAAAATTTTCATTGCTAAGCAAGACTTAAGTGAATTTTAAGTGAATTTTGCCCCATTGTACGATCTTTCTTGCCACAGTTGTTAAGTGAAACACTGCAGCTGCTAAGTTAGCAACATAAGTTGTGAAGTGAGTTTGGCTTCCCCATTGACTTTGCTTGCCATCATGTAGCAAAAGGTGATCACGTGACCCCAGGGCAACCATCATAAATACATGCCAGTTGCCACGCATCTGAATTTTGATTGTGTGACCATGGGGAGGCTGTAATTGTCATTAAGTGAGAAAAATGACACTTTTTTCAGTGCCCTTGTAACTTTGAACAGTCACTAAATGAATGTCAAGGACTACCTATATAGACCAAAATAAATGCAAAGATTTTTCCAAATGAAGCTCAATTCCTGCTGATTCTGTGGATACTTCTTTGCAATTTTTTTTGGCAGCGCTACAAAAATGATTTGCCACCATCTTCTTTTGAAACATTGTAACTTCCCAGTCTAGGCTATAGCCTTGGAATGTCCTGGTGGTGCCCTTCCAAGTATCAAACAGATCCAACCCTGCTTAGCTTTTTCCCCCAACACAATTAAATTTAACTGGGTGCCATGGCAAAAGACACAAGTATGCAAACCCCACAGACTACCTACCTCTTCCAAGCTATGCAGAGAAGAAGCAGATACTGCTCGGGAAGTGAGGGGGTGAAATGGTTCCTGACCAACTGCGTGCTGATGATTTTGTATTTGTATAAAAGGGTTCGGTTGCGATCTATGAGGCAATGGAGGTATACCATAATGAAAGCCTTGCCCCATGAGATGACTCTGGTGTAAATTAGCATAGGTCCATGATCCATCTGGCTGCAGGTATTTCAAGGAAGGTGGGGTCAGGTGTTCAGATGGCACTGAGAAAGGGGGATTGTACATTTGAGGCAAATGCTGCTGAAATGCTGGATTGTTAGAGATCTCAAGGTCTCTACTCTCAGAGAAATTAGGAAAGTGGCCACTGTGGTTTGAATTGCATGTAGGAGAGAGGAGTGCTGGTGGACTTCTGGGCTGCACTTGTCTATATTGCAAAAGTCTTGATTGAGGTGGCGGCATTTCAACGAGGTCCCTGTTTTCAGTTTGATCACGGTGGGAGAGCTCTCGAAGCAAATCCTGGAATCTGGATTAATGAGATAATGATTGCACAAGTGAGATAAAATGCCCTCCAATTAACAAGCAATATTGCAAGAAAGACAACACACATTCTTTTAAAGTGCAATTATCCAGGCTGTGCATAAGCTTCAGCAAAGGTAGATAGCACCAGAGTAAAATTATCAATGGGTTTTTAAATTATAAATGTCAAGAAAGAGGGGTGTGTGTGTGTGTGTGTGCTCATTAAAAAATTATTAGCACCTGTAAATATACTAAATGATCAACCAGAAATGTAATCAAGAAAACAAACAAAACCAAAACAAATCAACAGATAGCGAAACCTGGATTTAACAATCCAAATGGGATATTAGTCCTAAATGCCCATTAAATCACAAAATGTCATTTGAGGCTATTTACATCATTTGTGTAATGATGGCATTTTGCCAATAACATAAATGAATGTGAACAATTAGAATTAACATAAATTTAATTCCCTAACCCAGACTTATTTGGGAAGGGGAATCCAGGGAGAAGTCTGATCTGCTGAATCCAATAAAGGTTCCATTAGATCAAAGTTTTCACTTTACATGTGAGATATACACATGTTGGCAAAAAAAAAAGCAACCCTCAAAAACCAGCATTTTAAGGGGAGTAAAAATATTCCATCACTGTAGTTGTGTAATTTCTACCAAATGATAATTACCTTGAATATGTTGCCTCCGTTTCATCTTCAATATTGTTGGCAAGTTTCCAGTTTGCCCTGACTTGCTGCTGATGCAGTCCCATGGACTGCTGAGAAAGGTGGGATAAGTGAGGGTGGGGATGGTGAGAATAAGAAATATTGCCCTGACTGAGATAGGCGTTATGCTCATTCCATTGCTGTAATCTTGCTTGCTGTTGCCTTAAGGTTTCCAAAGCTAAATTTCCATGAATACGATCTGTAAAATTGGGGGAGGGGGGGAGAGAGGAGAGGGAAAATAATTACCCAGCTTCTATATTTAAGAGCTTTGTGCTTAAAAACTTTTTTTTGTTTTTACATCTGTACATGCATAGTGAGATTATCAAACATCAGCATTCCTTGCTAAAATTGCGCTATCCTCCCAAAATATGTTTCAGCAGCTAGCATCCATATATCTAAATGAAAACTTACTGTATTTAATGTCAGATTCATAAATAACTTGAAATGAGCACACCATTATACTTTAGGTAAAGGTAAAGGTTCCCCTTGCACATATGTGCTAGTCATTTCCTGTTCTAAGGGGCAGTGCTCATCTCCATTTCAAAGTCGAAGACCCAGCGCTGTCCAAAGACGTCTCCGTGGTCATCATGACTAAACGCTTAAGGTGCACAGAACGCTCTTACCTTCCCACCAAAGGTGGTTCCTATTTTTTCTACTTGCAATTTTATATGTTTTTGAACTGCTAGGTTGGCAGAAGCTGGGACAAATAACAGGAGCTCACTCCGTTATGCAGCGCTAGGGATTCAAACCACTGAACTGCCGACTTTTTGATCAACAAACAGCGTCTTAGCCACTGAGCCACCACGTCCTTTATTGCCTCTTTTTAAAAATCCTGATATGAATGTTAGTCTTGAAGAGATCCTCTTCCTCAAATCCTCCTGTCACGTATCAGCTTTGGTTGCTTGATTTTTATTCCTTATTACATCTAAGGAAGATTAGCTGCAATGATTTCATCTTTGTTTAAGATCCAGGTTAGTAAGGTGATATTAGATTGCAGCTCCATTTTAAGACATAATAAGGAAATAATGTAGCCAAAATCAAGCCACTAAAGCTTGCATAAGAAGGCACAGCATGGTTAAGAGTAGGACATGAACACAATGCCTAATTTTTATTGAAGTTTAGGAAACAGAAATCATTACACCCGAAATAGCACATAGTCTGAGAATGGGATAATTAAGGAAGAATGCTTGCAGAAGTTACATGGTTGAAGGCTGTGGACTAAATGACCTTCAGTTCTGTGAATAATGAAAAATAAACAGTGATTTTTGTTCAATCAGCAAAACATAAACTGAAAGGATTTCAACATTATACAATGGCTGTAAAATACCAAACATACCATATGCCAAAAATGATTCTTTGCCTTACACACCTCCTCTTCACCTAAGCAGACGGTTCCAATTTAAACCCCTAAACTGTAGCCATGGTTACCTACCTAATGGTTCTCCCACAGATACTCCTGGAGGATTCTCTTCAATGAAGTGGTTCAAATGGGATGGCATCATGAGGTTAGGCTGTGCAATGGGTCTCAGGGGGCTGCTGACATCTTGCAGCACAGATGGGGGAAGCTGTTCTAAAACTGAAGTGTCTGTACCAGGGGAATGAGGTCTATGCGGAACAGGATTTTTAAAGAAAGACTGGTTGGGGCCAGTTGGAAAGGCAGGAGAGAGCTGTGAAGATGGTGGTTGCGGCTGCTGATTTAAATGACTGTGTTGCTGGACTATCTGGCTCTGCGGAGGAGGCATTTGGTTATGTTGTTCAGACAAATGATTCTGTTGTTGACTTAAAAGGTTCGGTTGCGGTGGCCCAGGATATGGATGCCTTGAAATTTGGGCTAGATGCTGGAAGGGGCGGCTAGGAACAGCATACTGGGCTTGGGGAGGAGTGAGGTGAATGTTCAGCTGCCTAGGGTTAATATTATCTTTGCGGTGAAATTTAGAATTAGGATAAGAAGAACTGGAACGCGATTCAGGGCTTCTATTTTGGGGATTTGCTTCTAAGTCAACCTGGAGGAAATTACACAAATTATTTGAGTTAAAAGTCATTTAAGAACACAACGAAATCCTCCCTAAGCAATGAAAGCACACAGCAAATTATTTTAACACCAACTCAAGCATGTGATTTATAAAGAAGATGGGAAAAACAAGATTCAGAATGAAGAAAAACTATTGTAAAGCTTAGATACATATTCTCCTTTAACATATGCTTAACTGAAAACATAGTTAACCAAGGAATATAAATCTACTATAAAATATGTCATATGTATTTTTAACTTTTACATGTTCTATACAAAATAGAAATTTAAAACTATTTTATGAGGACCCAGATTGTTGGGGGCAATATGCTAAAACCGCTTGGAATGGCTTTAAAAGCACTGTGAACCAGTATATAAGTCTAAGTGCTATTGCTATTATTACAAGCTACAGAAGCTCTAATTTTCGTGGTCTTATATTTCTATTGTTAAACTGAATATTAAGATCTCATTCCTGAATTCCAATTTAAGAAAATATTACAGAAGAAATTAATTACTCACTTCTTCCTAATTACCATAGTAATTTAGTAAAAGGGAAAGAACCATATAAAACTTTTAGAAAATTTCACTTCTAAAGAAAACCAGCAATGTAATGCAAATGCCACTCCTTATTTCACTTTGCTTCCATCACCCTCTTACTGATGACTTGTTGACCTATTAACTCCTCTTAATATTCCTCCTTAAAGGGATGAAAGCACTGGGAAGGGAACAACGACCAGGAGCTAATTTTAAATTTTCATCCAAATGCAGATTTTAAAATTAAATTATAATGTTGAAATTGATTATCTAATATCTGCACCCATGTGTTCCTCCTGCATGATTCATGGTTTTCAAGTTTAATAACACAAAACCATGCAAATACTTTGCCACAACAATGTACAATACCATGATCCTAAAATTTGCATAGACTTTGATCACCAGTCAACAGATCAGATTCATTAAATGAATAAGCACTGATAGGCTGATGAGTCCAAACTCTTTAATAACCACATTTTGCTTTGACAATCGTACTCCCTTTTAAAAAAATATACCTTAAAAGAATACTAAGTGCTATTGCGCTTTTGCTAAAATATTGTCTATCAAGCTTTTTTTTATTAATAGTCTAGAAAGATAGGCTGTATTAAAAAAACCTTACTGAATTCAATATTACTGAAATAAATTATCAAAATTTCCTGAAATGGATTACTTGTAGTACTGGCATTATAGGTTGTCCTTGATTGAGCCTAACATTTCCATTGCTAAGTGAGATGTTTGCTAACTGAATTTCGCTCCATTTTACGATGTTTCTTGCCACAGTTCTTAAACAAATTACTGCAGCTGTTAAGGTAGTAAGACTGCAATTGTTAAGTGAATCTGGCTTCTCTATTGACTTTGCTTGTCAAAAGGTCACAAAAGCTGATCACATGACTTCGGGATACTGCAACCGTCATAAATATGAGCCAGTTGCCAAGTATCCGAATTTTAATCATGTAACCATGGGGATGTTGCAATGGTTACAAGTGTGAAAAATGATTATAAGTCTCAGTGCCACTGTAATTTTGGTCACTAAATGAATGATTGCAAGTTGAGAATTACCTGTACTTACTTTGGTTACTAGGCATAATCTTTTATCTACTGTAAACAACCCAAAATGTTGACCACCTCACCATATTATTTCTCCTAATACTATTGTTTAGGTGAGTCTGCACAAATAATTGTATTTTCCCTCTAATATATCTGATCTCTTATATCTTTATCGCGGTGGGCTTAGTTATTGTGTGTCTTGGTTTTTCTGGGGTTATTTATATTTTTAAAAACCTACATTATACATGTTCCATGGGCATCACACAGAAGAAAATAATAATAATATGCATACCTGTTTGGCTTCTAAAGGGTTTTTCTCAGATGTCCGAATTTTACTGATTTCAGGACCAGCACCAGGCTCATTTTTGCCTAAATAATATAGAAACCTCATATAAAATTCATTTTTAATATTCAACTTAAATTATACCCCACCATAATCACAGTTGAAAGTTATTAAACCTAGACGTATGAAATATCAGTGTTTTCAATCTTACTTTGATGATCATATTTAAAATATTATTGTTTAAAATTTAAAGCAAAGGGACAAATATTAGATGGTTAAGGGAAAGAAAATATTTTATGGTATTACTTTACTAATATTTTTTTACTTAATTTAAATAATTATTTTACTAATCATATTTTCAGCTTCTAAAAATAATTCCACATTGACATTGTGTAATTATAAATTACTGTATAAAACAAGAATACCTATGCATAAAATAGTGTACAGGTTAAAAAATAGTGCAAGAAACCAAATTAGGGTAATAAGTTAATAAAATTTAAAAGAGTAAATGTGAATCTAAAAAACACATTTGTCTATCAGATGTAATCAACAATAAAAGAAACATACAAATTAGAAGCCATAATTTATTGTTTTTCTCAGACATGACCATATAAATAATAATATTCACTTTTTACAGTTTATCCAGACTAAATAACCAAATTTGTACTCAACAATTAAAAACAGACAAGAGCTTTTTAAAGGACAACAATCTTTGCTCAATAGGAGATTAGCTGTGATCTTTTGGTTACTTATAAACTAAGAAACCATGGGCAAAACCCAGAGAATGAAGCCATGATTTAAAATGAGTTTCTATGCAATAGCTTCCTGGGAAGTCATTAACATGGTTCTTCATTCAGTTGTAATATTATAGCTAATTGTGATTAGTGGTATGATCACAAGAAAGGAGTAGAAAATAAGCATTTCATGTCTCAATTTATTACACTGCAATTTGATCAATCAAATACCACTACTGATTCAAGCCTGCAATGTTCTTTCCTTAGATCAAGTACAGAACATTTAACATACTATGAAAGAGATGATCAAATAAGTTTAATCTACTTCCTGCTCCTGAATTACTTGACTGAAGATGACCAAAGCAGTTTTTGGTAATTACCAATTACTCATTTATATTCTACTCTTAGATAATCCAAAGAGTGCAAAGTCATTTGGGTCCTATTACCTACATAGGGAAATAAAAAAGGGAAATATAGTTCCAGATTTAAATCTTGAATTTAGGAAGGTAACTAGAAAATCATCAATGATACAGATCTACTATGAAGCAAAGACACACAGTGAACCAGACACTTCATCAGATTCACTACTCAGATATTTTCTGACCATCGTCTTGAAGATAAATACCTTTATTCATTTTCTAGTCATCTCCATAGAAAACTATGGAATGATAAAACCAGAAACATTCCCCAGCGGATAAAGATAAATTTAAAATGTTGCCAGAATAGGAAGGTATAATTTATAGCTTACCCTTAAATGGGATTTTAAAACTTAACCTCTGAAATAATAAGCAGCTATGAAAATTTCATACAAATGACATTTGTTCCTTATTCTTCAGTCATCATACATAATGTGATCTTATGAATGAGGATATATTCATTCATCTTCAAAATGTCAAGCTAAGAGAATTATCTTCATAAATGAATGCATTTGTGCAATATGTTATAGAACATGGAAAAGTTCAGCAGTGAATGAATATGAAAATATTTTACTTTACCTAACTGTATTAAAACTTACAGAATTCACAAGTTTAAGGTAATTATATAGCACAATTCTCTCAGCCTTTCTTTTAAAAGAATAAAAAGCTATACAGGTATTTTATGCTACTTGACTTATGACCACAATTGAGCCCCAAATTTTTGTTGTTACGTGAAACATTTGTTAAATGAATTTTGTCCCATTTTACAACCTTTCTTTCCAGTTAAGTGATTCACTATAGCTACTAAGTTGTAGGGTCCTCATGGTCTTGTGGAAAAATCAGGTGAAACAATGGCTGATGACGTCCTTCTACTGGTCCACGATAGAAAGCGCCCTCACATATTGTGTCACGGTATGGTATGCTGACTTAACAGCCGCAGACAGGAAGACATTACAGAGGGTGATGAGCACAGCACAAAAAATCATGGGCTGCCCCCTAACCACATTGGCTGAAATCGCCAGGTTCCACTGTCTCAGCAGAGTGAAGGAAATCCTCAGGGATGATTCACACCCTGGACAGCATTTCTTTATTCTCCTACCATCGGGCAAGATTTGTAGAAGCATAGCCAGCCAAACAAATAGGCTGAAAAATAGCTTTTATCCATGGACTGTCAGATTTTTAAATGCAACATAACACCACAATCAAACTAATGTGATACACTTGCAGCCATGAGGTGACCCCACTTGCTGCCTCCTGCACCTCAAAAATAATAAGACCTCCCAGAAAATAAGACCAAGGGATTATTTCAGGGGTCAAAAGAAAATAAGACCCTGTCTTATTATCAGAGAAACACGCTGTGTGTGTGTGTTTGTGTGTGTGTGTGTGTGTGTGTGTATGAGGATATGTGTGTTAGTTTATTACTTATTGGGTTTAGGGATTTCTTTTTACTTATTGATTTATTGAGATGTATTCTGTGTTCTTGGATAGGCTGCACCAAGGGAGGCTCATTCAATTTCATTGTACACATATTGTGCATTGACAATAAAGGTTTTATTGATTGATTGAGTTAGTAACATGGTTGATAAGTAAATCTGGCCTCCTTGTTGATTTTGCTTGTCACAAAATTGCAGAAAGTGGTCACATGATCCTGGGACACTGCAACCCACATAAACATGAGTCCGTTGCCAAACATCTGAATTTTGACCACATGACCAAGGAAATGCTGCAATGGTCATAAATATGAAAATGGTCATTAGTCACCTTTTTCAGGGATTTTGTAACTTTGAATGGTCAATAAATGAATCCTTGTAAGTAGAAGACTACTAATTTTCAATTGCATACTTGCAACAGCCCACAGGTATGGCAAGCAAATTCTGTGCTTTTCTAACAAAACATCTATACTGAGATTGAGGTTGAGTGGCTGATCAGATAACTATTTCACACCGAAGAAAATATATTATGCAAACACAAATAAACTTCAACAGACCAACTTTGACATGATTATATCCCATATCTTCTGACCAATAACTTAGCAATAAGGTATGCTGACTCTGTAAACCCTTCAGAGAGTGCTGTAAAGCACCATGAAGTGATATATAAGTGCTATTGCTATTGCTAAATAGCTTCATATCAAACTGTTGCCCAAAGACTTCAGAATGCCTCTCATAGGAAACTTTAAACGCTTCTGTTCCTAAACTCAGTCCAGGGCTAACACTCATCTTGCTTTTCCAAATGACAAATCTCATGTAATCATCTGAAAAAGTCTCTCATTAGAAATGCAGTCCTAACTATCTGATGTAGAGATGTAAATTAGAAGTTTGCCCTACATCTTCTCAAAATAGGCACAGGACCTAAAATGCAATAGTTTTCTAACAGAACAAAGTTAACATAAATATCAAACCATCCAACTTTCAGGTTTTTTTTTTTAATCCTATGACATACTTGCTGATTTTCATCGTTCCATGTTTTTTATTAGGATTTACTCTGAAATAATTTTTAACCTTGATTAGGTTAGGGCAGGACTCTTAAAATTTGGGTCCCCTGCACAATACAAATGATGGCCCATTTTTTGTCAAATGACTGGGCAATGCTGCATCTACCAAAAGGAAACATAATTAATGTAGTAACTGATGTGGAGGTCTGGGACAGTTCTGTTATATAGCTCGGCTTTAGGCCTAGAATTAGCATTGCCTGAGAAAAAGCTAATTCAGAAAATAGAACTTGGATGAACATAACTTTGTTTTTAAAGAAAACTCGATTGGCAATTTCTTCAAGCCAATTTCTGCAAAGAAAAGTCCAATAATCCCTATTGTTAAATCAATTTGTGTATTTAGGAATTCTATCTGTCTAACAGTTAGTTTCTTGGCCCTGGGTATCCCTTGGAATAGCTAAAACCACTACATTTATGTAAAATGATAAAACATAGCTTATTGCAGCTGGAATCATCATAGCTGCCACCTGTCTATTCCTCTTACTGGGGCCACCCAGATTTTGGGGTTCTCCTTTATGTTATTCATTAACTCAACCAGCTAGAGTTAACCTTAGCTGTAGCTTATTTGAAACAAGGCAACTGCTCACCATATGTTGTGCTTTTAGTTAAGATTAACTGTCCATCTTGGCTCAGATAATATGAGCCAGTTTTACCAAAAATGGCAAAACGCTTCTAAATTCCTCATGGTGAAGTCCAAAAACTCCAGATATCTTGGGTCCTTTTTGTTAAAGTCAAAATCTATTAAATTATTAAACAGCTATTAAACAACTGAAGATAGGCAGGTTGCAACACAATATACTTCTCAGGATAAAAGTCAGAGAATGTTTAAAAGACAAAAGCTCCTCAAAGTCTTTTCTTCAAGGGTTTTCTTTTCCTTTTTGCCATGACCAATTATCTTTCATTCAATAATGACTTCACACTGTAATTTTCTACCAACAAGAACAGCTAGCTTTAATGTTTAATTGCTCGTCTTCCTTCTTAATGACACATTAAGTTAATACGTGATTGAATTTGGCTCTTGTGAAAATAGGTTATTTTATAATAAATTGAAAGTATCAGCACCTTTCACAGGCGAGTCCAATCATCCTATTTTTCTTCAGAGACAGAACATTATGTTAAAGTGAATGGTCGTTCTCTAGGTGCTGCGGGAGGGTCCAAGCATGGGTTAACTTCAGCTTGCTGCCCAAGGACTGAGTTCAAATCTTTGTGTAGCCACGCCTCCTGTTCCCCACAGAGGCTCAGTTTTAAAAACGAAGGTATCCGATCCAAAGGTTGCTGTATGGAAAGGTCCGTGTCTTATAGGTGCTAAGTCCTGCACCCACACAAGAAAAACCCCATAGGGCGGGGTTGGACACTCCTGCAGTGCCTAGAGAACGACGGTTCTCCCTCGAAAGGACCTGCGGTTCCCCTGCTGCCTGGGTCTGTCCCTGAAGGATGCCCTATCCT